TATATATATATGTATATATGTATATATATATGTATATATATATATATGTATATATATGTATATATTTGTATATGTATATGTATATATATATGTATATATGTATATATATCTATATATATGTATGTATGTATAAAAAAAAATATATATATATATATACATATGTATGTATAGATTAATCATGAATGTAGTACTCACTACCACCTTGTGCATATTGTCTTCTTTTTTTTTTTCAAAAAATTGTGTATTCTGCTTCTTTTTTGATTATTTCGTGTGTTGTTGTCTGTATAATTAGACTATGCTACTGGATGCCGCAAATTTTCCCCTGGGATTAATAGACTATAACTATATACATATATAACTAGCATACATACACATATAACTATATATAGCTAGCATATACTGTTCAGTACCCTGAGATGACTGACTGTCTGTCTGTCTAAACTGGTCTTGTTTTGGGACCCATCACTCCCTAATGACAAGTTGTGACCACAATTGATAAAAAAAAAAAAAATAAAAAAAAAATTGAAACTTCTCAAATGTATTGAATGAAAGAATGGTGCAGTTTGTACTTAAGACAGTAGAACATGGTATCATAGTATGCCAACACAAAAAAGAAAAACAAGTTTAACAATAAACCAACATGACAATTGATTTTCTCGTCACATGTTTTTGCTCAGTCAAAAGTCAGTAACCCACTGAAAACAGGTCTGTAACCTACTTTTGGGTCATGACCCACCATTTGAGAATCATTGCTCTATACATATTGTCCAACACTGTGATGGAAAGCTAGTTGTGGTATCAGATTATTTTGTATTCTTTTCCTCCTCTGTAATTCAAAGTATCTGGGAGTCAAAAGTAAAGCTATCTGTCCAACAACTGAAGCTTGGCCCCATTCGGGTCCCGCTGCAAACCACTTATCCTGAACTCAACAGCAAATATGCAACAGAATGCAGTATCTGAAACACAAAATAGTCCGTGTTACAAATCCCAAGTCTCAAACTAATTGACATTCTGAGGTGGGACCTTAGGAGAGCAAGTGCAGCAATGCTGCTAATAAGTTCTCCATAATGATGTGAGAGTGAAAAGTTCACACAGAAGACAAAGTTTAAGTTTGAATTCTATCTTTTAAAAAATCCTTGTTTATCTCACACTGCTGCTGCACAAAGCCTAAAACAAGTTTGTCAAAAAAGTCAGATTAACTCTTCTTTTGGTCGCTCTTCCTATCTGTCCTAATTACCAGCACCAAGTTGCTTTTGGTGAACAGCCAGAGTGGCTAAGGACTAAGGGATCACTCAGCTGGCACTGTCAAAAACATGGAGCGAGTCTGGCTGAAGTGGAGCAGTTCTGTTTGCCAGCTGTCAAAGACTGACTCAAAGAGGTTACTCGGACGTCAGAGATATTCTTAGTCAAATGCAGTTGTTTTACAGATCTAAAACGAACGGGGACAGTCCTAAATTCTCCATGAACCTCTGTACCATGATAGAAAAATGTTTTACTTTAGAGTGTGACGTGCTGGTTACAGCAGGTTGTCTTCTGTAAACACCAATGACCTGACGAGCCAGTGAGCTCATCCAGAGGTGGCAGAGGATTAGCGCTGACATGCCGCTACATGTTTGTCTGTCAAGGACACGACACGTCATCGACACTGACAAGAGATGGAGATCAGAGTGAAAACTATTGGCTGACTTTTTAAACGTGAAGCGGGAGTCAGGGATGAAGAGATTAACTGTCATTTCCAGCAAAACTGATGCAGATCCAGACAAGAATTATGACCATCACAAAATGTTTATTACAGAGGGAAATGAATGAGACACTAAGAGGAATTAGGTGGTTTAAAATGATCACAGGATGTATTATCAGTCAGTAAAATGCATGTACTATTTAATTAACGTGTAATTTCAGATGTAGTGCTTCTAAGTTTTGTTTCACATCGGTTTAAAAAGAGGGCGCAAGTAGAGGATGAGGTTTAGTCGACGGGCTTACCAACACAAATTTTCTGCCCATTTTCTTTCTAAATATGAAAGCTCTCACTCTGTCTTTGTGCGAGTACCTTCCCTGAAGTAGACATGAACAGCCAGTTATTTACCACTTAAGAGGGACATGTGGAAGATCTTGTGGCTTTACACAGACACGTGACTCACATGAGAGCAAGCATCACTATTGTCTCCTCTCAAACAAAAGCACATTCGCTGTCAAGCCTAGAGGAATTTTTTATTTTTCTTTCCGATCTACTTTTGCCAAGATGATGTGTGGTGGATGCAGGAGAAGGGACTCAAATATTTTTTCAAGCCTTACAGCTCCTTGGCTCTGTCTGACGTGGAACAGCTTTGTGGTTAACATGATTCCCTTACTGGTTTGTCATCGATGATAAAAGATTGA